TACTGACCTGAAATAACGGGTTGTTACATCATCCCCCCGTTAAGGGAATTTCGTCCCGAAAATTTTTTTTTTTTTTTTTTTTTTTTTTTACAAAGAAGAGTCTTAGGGCTGGGGGGAAGAGATGTGGATATTTCTGTTGCATTTGGTCCTCTCGTTCCACGTGAACTCGGGTCCCCTCTTAGCATTCCATCGGACCTTTACTATTGGAATGCGACTCTGTTTAGTTCGTTTAACTTCCTATCCATGATCTCGACGGGTTCTTCCACAAAGTTAAGATTTTCATTTAGTTCGATCTCATCGAGTGGAATTACAAGTGTTTCGTCGGACAGACACTTCTTCAGGTTTGATACGTGGAATACTGGATGTACTTTGTTAAGCTCTATTGGAAGTTGGAGTTTGTAGGCTACTGGACCAACCCTTGAAATGATTTCGAAGGGCCCAATGTACCTAGGATTTAGCTTCCCACGCTTTCCAAAGCGTATCATTCCCTTCCAGGGCGAGACTTTCAGTAGTACCCGATCGCCGGTCTGGAATTCCAATGGTTTACGTCTTTTGTCGGCGTAGCTCTTCTGTCTATCCCTCGAGGATTTCAGTCGCTCTCGTATTTGCACGATCTTTTCGGTAGTTTCTCTGATGATCTCCGGACCAGTGAGGGTGCTATCAGGGACTAGACCTTTTGCTAGTTGGGTGTCGCCTACTTCCGTCCAGCACAGAGGTGATCTGCACTTACGGCCGTAAAGGGCTTCAAATGGAGCAGCATTGATACTAGTATGATAACTATTGTTGTAAGAGAACTCGACCAAAGGTAAGTGAACATCCCACGCTTTACCAAAGTCGATTACACATGCTCGCAACATGTCTTCCAAGGTTTGGATCGTTCTTTCGCTCTGTCCGTCAGTTTGGGGGTGATAGGCTGTACTCATGTCCAATCTTGTTCCCATGGATTTTTGCAATGATTGCCAGAACCTAGACGTGAATCTGCTGTCTCTATCCGAGATGATAGACATTGGCACTCCATGGAGTCGTACGATCTCTCGGATGTAGGTTCTCGATAGCTTTTCCATTTTATCAGTTTCCTTGATCGGTAGGAAGTGAGCGGATTTGGTTAATCTATCGACGATTACCCAAATAGTATCTTGGCCACCCTGAGTTTTGGGCAGTTTCGTTATGAAGTCCATGGAAATCTGCTCCCATTTCCACTCAGGAATTTCAGGTTGTTGGAGTAGTCCTGAGGGTTTCTGGTGTTCTATTTTGATCTTGGCGCAAGTCAAACACTTGCTCACATATGTAGCGACCTCTGCTTTCATGTTTGGCCACCAGTAGAGTTGTTTGAGATCTTGATACATCTTGTCTGACCCGGGGTGTACGGAGTATGGAGTCTTGTGTGCCTCGTTCATAACTACCTCTTTAAGTCCACCAAACTTGGGCGTCCATATACGGTTCATGAGGTAGCGTGCTCCATCACTCTTGATTTCTAAATTCTTGTCCATTCCCCTAAGGGTTTCACTTGTCACGTTTTCGGGTTTTAAGGCCTCTATCTGAGCTTCCTTGATCTGTGTCGACAGGTGCGAATGGATTGACATGGCTAATGACTTCACTCTTCGGCCAGAGTACTCCTTCCGGCTAAGGGCATCTGCCACGACATTTGCCTTTCCTGGTGATAGCGTATCTCACATTCGTAGTCGTTGAGTAACTCGACCCAACGTCGCTGCCTCATGTTTAACTCCTTCTGGTTGAAGATGTGTTGTAGGCTCTTGTGGTCTGTAAAAATAGTGCATTTGGTACCATATAGGTAGTGTCTCCAAATTTTAAGAGCGAAGACCACCGCTCCAAGCTCTAAATCATGAGTGGTGTAATTGACCTCATGCGTTTTTAGTTGTCTTGAGGCATATGCAATAACCTTTCCCCTCTGCATTAGTACACAGCCCAGCCCTTGCTTCGAAGCGTCGCAATATACTACAAAATCTTCGGTCCCTTCTGGGAGAGAAAGGATGGGCGCACTGCAAAGTGCCTGTTTCAAAGTCTGAAATGCAGAATCTTGCTTTTCTCCCCAATTGTAGGTCACACCTTTCTGGGTTAAGGCGGTAAGAGGCTTTGCGATGCTGGAGAAATTCTGGATGAACCGTCGATAATAACCAGCCAGGCCTAGGAATTGGCGAATTTCTGTTGGTGTAGTTGGCGCCGACCAGTTTTTAATAGCCTTAATTTTTGATGGATCCACGTGGATCCCTTCCTTACTGACCACGTGACCGAGAAAGTCCACCTTTCTAATCCAAAATTCACATTTTGAGAATTTTGCATACAGTCTCTCAGTCCGCAACGTCTCTAGCACTTGCCTCAGATGTTGACCATGCTCTTCTTTATTCTTTGAGTAAATGAGTATGTCGTCTATGAATACTATCACGAATTTATCCAAGAATGGACGACATACCCGATTCATTAGATCCATGAATACGGCCGGGGCATTGGTTAGCCCGAATGGCATCACTACGAATTCGTAGTGTCCGTATCGTGTTCGGAAAGCCGTCTTGGAGATATCACTCTCTAGGACTCGCAGCTGGTGATATCCCGACCTCAGATCGATCTTGGAGAAGTAGTTGGCTCCTTGGAGTTGATCGAACAAGTCATCGATTCGGGGTAGGGGGTATCGGTTCTTGATGGTAAGTTTGTTGAGTTCTCGGTAGTCAATGCACATTCTGAATGATCCATCCTTCTTTTTCACGAACAGCACAGGTGCTCCCCACGGTGAGAAGCTCGGTCTGATGAATCCTTTTCCCAGTAGTTCATTCAGTTGGCTGGATAGCTTCTTGCATTTCTGCCGGGCTAATCGATAGGGTGCTTTGGCTACTGGGGTAGCTCCGGGAACCAGATCGATTCGGAACTCCACTTGTCTTGCAGGTGGTATTCCTGGGAGATCCTCGGAAAAACATCAGTAAAATCGCATACGCCTGGCACACTCTTGATATCTTGGACCTGCGCTTCACATCCACAACATGTGCCAAGAATGCGTGGGCACTCCTTGCGTAGGCATTTCTGAGCTTGGATACTTGAGATGATACGGAGAGTGGTACTTGGTTTGTCGCCCAAGATAACGAAAGTTTCGCCGGTGGCAGATTAAGGCGAACGGCCTTATCGTAACATAGAATGTCGCATGATGAGAACTCAGCCAGTCCATGCCAATGATGACATCAAAACTCTTAATCGAGACTGGCATGAGGTTGATTGAGAATGGATGATCAAAAGTTAAGGTGCAATTTAAGTATATCTCCTTAGTGCCTTCGGTTTCCCGTTGGCCATTTCTAATAAATGGTTCACTCAATGACTGTGGTATTGATTTTAGCAG